GCCCGCCTCGGCCTCCCAGAGTGCTAGGATTACAGGCGTGAGCCACCACGCCCGACCTTCATGGGTTCATATTAATACTTCCAGTTTATATTCAGGACCATAGGGTTTGTACTTAAACCCTTCTATCTTATATCTATGTTTCCTTTCTTCCATATCAATAATCCTGATTTTCAGGGACATAGGGATTGATAGAATTATAATGTCACATAATTACTTATCTACTTCATCCCATACAAAACACACATAAAATATCAGAGTAACAACCCCAATACTTTGAATACCAGTATGATTACTAAAAAGTTGAACTTTTTTTTACATACGCTAAATCTTTTTTTCCCTTACTTAAAAAATAATTGTATTGTTTCTGCATTATCAGAATATGCACCCATTGTATACTGTGCTGTCTCCCTTATCACCCTCATTTAGTTTAAGTGTATTTAATGCTTATCTCCATTCCTTTTGTTCATGTCTCCAGTGGTTATTGAAACTTGGTCTCTAGTAGCTTCCTCTCCAAGAACCTGTGAGAACGATATTCTTTGACATCTTGCAAGTAGATAACATATGGCTTCTATCCTTGAAAATCAGCTTGGTTGGATATAAAATCAGGTCAAAGCTTTACAAATTATGAGCTTTAAATATGTATAGTTTATTGTATGTCAGTTATACCTCAGTGAAGTGGTTAAAAAAAATCCTTGGTTCACATTTTGTTCTTTGACTATCTTGGAATATGTTATTCTGGCATGAGATGGTGGTATCAAAAAATCTGATCTTTTTTAAGTGATTGTTTTTCCTAGATCACCCATAGGATGGTTCTCTTTTTTTAAAGCAGAGTAATTTTAATAGACTATTTCTTGGTGTTCTGGGTTGATTTTCTCAGGTATGTGGTGTTTCCTTTCAATATGTAGTTTCGAATATATGTATTGCTATATTTCCGTAAAGTTTCCTTGAACTTTAAATTACATGTTTATTTTTGTCCCCCTTGCTTTGATTTCCTTTTTTCAGGACTCTATATATGTTGGATCTTCTACATTTGTCTTTTACATTTGAAACCTTCTATTAAATCAATTTTATCTCTTTCTTAATTTCTTTATGATTTTTAAAGCTTTCTTCTTTTTTACCTTTTATTTCCCTTAAGGCATTATCTGTTGTGTTTTATTCACTCTTGTATTTCTTCTAGTTTAGTCTCCATTTTCAAAATGGTTTTTCTTTTTTTCCTAATTCTATTCTTAGCTTTCTCACCTCATTTCTGAATTTTTGTAATTCTGCTTTATGCTGCTGTTTTATACCTGGTATTATTTATTTCTTTCCCTGTGTTTTGGAATGTTAGATTATAGTTTTTATCTTTTTTGTGGGCATTTCTTTCTGGCATGTTTTTATCATCTATAGGAACGTAATTCTTATTCTTTTAATACTTTTATGTGGCATTTGATCTCAGTCCTTTTCTGTTACTCATTTTTATGTGAAATTAGTTTTCCTTACTTGAGGAGGGAGGGCTGACTTAGGAAAGTTTTTCTAATTTCATGTTCTATAGTTCCCTTTTCTCTTGTTTTTGTGAAGTGTTAAAAAAAAAATGGACTCATTTTCTGATACATTCTGATCTGTAGACCTTTTTAACTTTTATCTAGACTCCTTTTTTTTTTTTTCTTTGTTGTCTCATTCTGTTCAACTTGGATTCTTTCCTTAGCATCTTGTTAGTATCAGTATGGGGCTTTGTCCTTAGAAGAGAGTTTTGGCAGATGGGTTTGGAGAGTTTATTTGCAGCCCCTTCAGATCTTACTGCCAACTACTTGCATCACCCACTTTTGGTGTGGACATACCCCTCCCACTTCTAGGCTGCTGTTCTCAGATAGTCTTACTGAGCTGTGAAGTCCATATTTATGGACTGCTTTAGCATTCTTGCGTTCATCACATACCCTGTATCTTCTCTCTGCCTTTTCCTTCACAGGTGCTGAGAGCATGCTACTCTTACAGCTGTTGGTTTTGGTGGGACTACCTTACCACCTAGTTTTGTTTTAGATGCAGTCAGTGGGTTTGAGTTTTGCTGTCCTAGTATCTCTGGTATGCTTTTATGTGTGTATTTAGTTTAAAAAATTAAGCAACTTTTATCTTCCCAGAATCGCCAATATTAATATTTTTATTATTTTCTACATGTCATCTCTAGATCCTCAGACAGATTCTAAACCACCTGAAGGATTGTCAGGATCCCACACAGACTGGCTAACATTAAATGTTGGAGGGCGGTACTTTACAACTACACGGTAGGTGTGAGTGTATGTGTGTTACAGAGAGAGAGAGAATGCAAAAGGAATGCTATATATCATTTTTTCTTTCCTTCAATTTACTGATTTCCTTAAAAGATATTGAAATGCTACTTAAATATACTATGTGATCTGAAACCATTTTTAGAACTTTTTTTGAAGAAAAAAGTAAAATATGGTCACATTGTCATTCCAGAGAAAGCATAAAAAGCATGAATCGTGTTTTAGAGCGTGCTTTTTCAATATTGAGTAATACACACACAATAGAAGTAAAAATTAACACTACTGGAATACAGAGATTACAACTGCTTTTATTAAAGTGATCAGAAAAGTATAAGAGATCAAGAATATTATTATGTAATAGTTTGCTAGCAGGCTAGATTAACATTTTAAGGAAATGAAAACAATATATAAGTCAAAGGAAGTGCCAATTTAGAAGGGATTTTGATAAGTGGCAACTTATTGCACGTTTTTGTTTCCCAGCATTACTCCTACCAGGTTGTAGCATGCATCTTTTTGAGAGAGCAGCTGGGATCGAGTATACTCTTGACTTAAATATGTTTGTTTGTAAAGACAAATGGAGAAATCAATTTTTTTCCCTGAATTCTTAGGAGCACTTTAGTGAATAAAGAACCCGACAGTATGCTGGCCCACATGTTCAAGGACAAAGGTGAGTGTTTTCACATTTTATGTAATCTATTTATATCTGTATTGACTTCCTAACTCCCCACCTTCTGTACTTTTTAATGATGTCAGTAATTTTTACAAAAGTAAAAACTTACTGGTATATTACACAATTTTCTTCCCATAAATTTCTAACTTTATTTTTTGTTTATGTGGGGCTTTCTTCATTGCAATGGTAACACAGGTGTCTGGGGAAATAAGCAAGATCATAGAGGAGCTTTCTTAATTGACCGGAGTCCTGAGTACTTTGAACCCATTTTGAACTACTTGCGTCATGGACAGCTCATTGTAAATGATGGCATTAATTTATTGGGTGAGTTTTCAATATAAATATACAATTCCTCACATGTTTATCAGTTTAGGACATATCTTCTCCATTTTTTGAACTAAATGTTTTCCCATGTATATGAATGTATCTAGGGATAGAGATAGATACAGGCACAGGCAGATGGTCTTTTCAGGTGGGTAGTCTTTGTACCTATAGGTTTATATCTGACCCATAAATTTCAATTTCAGATTCTAAATTGATTTCGATTCTATCGCAAAGGACTTTAAGGGATTTTGTTGTTTCATTTTTTTTTTTAGTTGAATTGTGACTGTAACTTGACTCTAAGTTACGGACATTCCCATTATATTGAGAATTAGAGTAGTCAAAAGGGAAAATTGTGCTTTGGATAATAGCCTGGATTAGAGTCTCGAGTCTACAATTTACTAGATTAACTTGGAGAAAGTCTCTCCAAGTCCCCTTTGAAAAATGGGTATTAAAAATACTCTCATCCCTACCAGCATCACAAGATTTTTGTGAATGTTCGTGGAGATGATATAGACAAAAGCCATTATAAAACACTGGTTGCATATTTGGAAGTTTATTGGCCTCCAAGTGGCTGAATTTCATCTGATGTTCGTACTTGAGAGGTGGGGAGTGTGACAGTCTTGAGTTCACCTGCCTATTTAGCTTCAGCACATCGTTGCCGTGTTGGAATGTGCACTGAAGGTGCTTTGATTTATAAAGCAAAGCTGTATATCTAAAATTTTATGTGACATTTTCTGATTTGAAAACACCACGTGCTAAACGTATCAGAATCAGTCCAGGGACTACTAGTTTAGTCTCTGTAGTGAAATACAGAATACCCAGTAACTTTTCATGTGGCTGTATTAAACTTTATTCCCTTTCAAATATACCTATTGCAAAAAAAAAATCACATTATTTGACCGTGTCAGCTAGGTCCATAAGCTATTTGTAACCAAATTCTTACTGCTTTTTTTTTTTCTTTTACTTTCTACCAACTATTGCTTTAAATCCTTTACAGCCCGTTGTATTATCTTAGTTATCCTGCAGAGGTTACTATTATAAAAATAACCAGTGATCCACTCTTGTACACGGCCTTTTCTTTTCAGCACCTATGTCACCCTGTGGCCTTTCACTCTAATGACCACCCTCCTCTGAGTACATTTTACACCTCAGCATTGGAGGTCCTATGGGTTCTTCTGTTCCTCCCATTTTAATTTTTCCTCATAGCATTGATAGCATTTTGTATCTTCCCTACCTAGAAAACAACTTGAGGAATATATTGACTATATCCATGCTATCTGAGACTTCTGCTATCTAAGCAATTACCAAGATTTGCTTGTTTTTTCTTTTTCGTGTTTCTCAACCATTTCTCCTATTTATTGAGTTGTTCAAAAAGCAGAGCTCTCTACTGGATTCATTTTATAAAGCATTATTTTTAGTTAGTATAGTTTCCATCCAGACTTTTCACATTGCCTACAGGTTGTCCCATGTTGTCATATGCTTTAAAATAATCTACAGTAATATCTGTAAGACCAAAAAGGTGTAGTGAGTGGCAGAGCTGGGATTCAAATCCAGGTCGTACTGGTGCTAATAGAAAATGTACTACTTTCCTCTGCTGTCCTCCATATATTTTTTTTTTGTATTTCTAAGGCTTTTTGGAAGTTTCAAAGGTTTAATTCTAAACTTAGAATTAGAAAAGCATCTTTACCACATTCCCCGAGAGGTTATGATATATCCAGAAAATCTTGGCAAATTGAGAGCGAGGCCCACTAGACCCTCTCTCTTTTTTAATTTATTTTTTTTCCACCTCCTCCTCCTCCTCAAGAACCACTTTTATGATGAGTTTCTACCAGGGACAGATATTGTGGTGTGGCTGCCCTTTCAGGAAGAATCCAGAGATCAAGCCAGTCTGGGGTGGACTGGAAACCCCATGCCAGGGTGGCTGCATGAGTAGGGTGCTGTACCTCGGAGTACCTTTGTTTTGCAATTGGATTATTAAAGGTGGAGTTTGGTTTTCACAGAAAAGATCATATTATTCTTCCCAAATAACTACTTGTGGTTTTCTGTAACTATATTTAGTTACCTTTAGTTAGCTTGGAACTATTTGAAGAGTGGGATTATGTCTCACTTTCTATGTAATTCCTGAGTCCTCAGTAGTTTTGTACACCAAGTAAACAGCCACCTGAATGACTGAGGTCTTCATTTGAAAGGTAAAGGGTCCCAGATTTATTCCCACACACTCTGAGAAAGTAAGCATACCAAGTCACTTACAAGTAAATAATAGATGAATCCCTTTTATCAGTTAGAAATTTTAAAATTTATTCTCCCATGGGAAAGATTTCTGAGTTATGCTTTTGACTTTGTTGTGAAGGCAACTTAAATTTTCTATTCACCTCTATCATTTTCTGATTCAGTATGTAAAAGGTATTTGTGGCAGACTCTTCAGATCTCCATTTAAAAAGTCAAACGTTAAGATTAAATGAATTCATCATATTTTATTGAATTCACAATGAAGTCGCTAAGTCAGTTGTTTTAGGAATATGGGGTATTAGGATTTCTTGTCTGTGGCCTATTTTAACTGATTATCAGAAATAATTTTGAACTATGGAACGCTTTCATTCTTTCATAAAAACTTTTTATTGATACATAATATATATATTTTGGGGGTACATATAATTTAATACAGTCATACAATTTAAAGATCAAATCAGGGTAATTGGGATATCCATCACCTTCAATATTTGAGAAGGCTTTGATTCTAATTCATTAGTTTTCTGTTTTTTCTATTTCAGAATATAATTTAGACCTTTGTTTTTACGAATAGTTTTAAATATTCTGTGTGTATGTTCTAAATATTACCTTTCTTCTATATTGTCTGATAGACTACTTGTTAAATTTCAATTCCATTGTGAGAATTTAACAAATTCTTTAAATATCAAAATGAATAGTTTTCTGTAAAAGTCAAATCATTTTTGTTCCAATAGGTGTGTTAGAAGAAGCCAGATTTTTTGGTATTGACTCACTGATTGAACACCTAGAAGTGGCAATAAAGGTAAAGCTCTTTTTACATTAGCCAGTGTTACATATGTTGGATATATCTCCCCAAAGCCCCATTAATTTCTTAATATCTTTTTTAAGAATTCTCAACCACCAGAGGATCATTCACCAATATCCCGAAAGGAATTTGTCCGATTTCTGCTAGCAACTCCAACCAAGTCAGAATTGCGTTGCCAGGTAATTAATTAAAGCAGGCTTCTACAAGAGTTATTTGTAACAGCAAATCTGTGAATACAGTTTTATATCCTTCTAGGGTTTTTAATGTTTTTTTGGTTGTTTGCTTTATTTTCTTTTTTCATGCAAGATATAATTTAATTATGGGTTATAGTGTTGATTTAATTGTGAAATGGTTAGCTAAAAAGAGATGCAATAGCCTTTTTATTGTCTAATTATGCCTTATGTAGCAGTTTGTGAGTATTGCATGGAAATTGGAGCAATTTTTTTAAGGTCAGTATTTGTACAGTTGCTACATATGGCCTGGTCAGTGGCAGATACTTTTGTGTGTTGTAGCATTACAGATTTTAAAAACCACAATATGGGCCAAGGGTGGTGGCTCACAACTTGGGGAGGCCAAGGCAGATTGCTTGAGGACAGGAGTGCAAGACCAACCTGGGCAACAAAGCAAGACTCCATTCTATGAAGAACAAAAATTAAAAAAAAAAAACTGGGCACAGTGGCACACACCTGTAGTCCCAGCTACTCAGATTGCTTGAGCCCAGGAAGTCAAGTTTATAGTGAGCTATGATGGCACCACTGCACTTTAGTCTGGGCAACAGAGAGAGAAAGACCTTGCCTCTTAAAACACAACACACACACACACTCACTCACTCTACTCATTTTTTCTTAATAAAACTGTCTTGAATTATGGAATAACATAATTTGACTTAAATAACACTTACCAGCAGGTATAGTGTATATATACCAGCAGGTATATATATATATAACTAACAGGGATCCCTCTTTAGAAACTTCTGTACATAAATGAAGTATAGCCAGGCTATATTCTAATGCATTTATCAATGGGGTTTCTTTTTTGGCGAACCCACTAAGGATACTTATTTGATGTATCTAAGTTTCATTTGATCATGTTTTATAATAAATTCCAAGTTACTGAACTGCCAGTTGCTTCTAAAAAAGTTTGGTGGTTAGCTGTAGTAATTAAATTTAATACAAACAGATGGTTTAATTATTGTGACAATTTGTGCTTTTTTATTTCAGGGCTTGAACTTCAGTGGTGCTGATCTTTCTCGTTTGGACCTTCGATACATTAACTTCAAAATGGCCAATTTAAGCCGCTGCAATCTTGCACATGCAAATCTTTGCTGTGCAAATCTTGAACGAGCTGATCTCTCTGGATCAGTGCTTGACGTAAGTATCATTGTTGGTTACAAGAGAAAATTAAATTTTTAGTCTGTCGAACAGTCCCAAAGAGCCTTTGGAACAGGAAATATATCCGTTACTGGAGCTTTTACTTGAAAAGTTTATTATGTTGATGATAAAACTGAGGGGTCTGAAAGTGAGATGAGTTGGTTTTACAACTTTGATATCCTTTACTAAGCATAGACCTGAAAGGTTTAGCAACTAATAAGAAATTAAATCTTGAAATTAGAGCCTGATCTCCTCAATATAGTGTATAGTTCATAATTACCTTAAGAACTTTTGATAATGTTTACAGTCTGTTTTACTTTGGCATTACATAAAGTACCAGAGATGTTCATTTGCATATATCAGCTTGTGTTATAATTTCAAGTATATAAAATCCACTCATCTTTTAGTTATTTTGCTCCTTCCAGATTCTTATTATCTTATCTATTTAGTCGGAGCATCTGCAGTACCTGGTGTTAAGGCCCAGGCAGAGATGGGAATGAGCAAGCGTTTGTCAGTTATCTGTGATTTGGATCCTCTCATCTCCCTTTTCCTAGAATTGACAGTAGAGTGAATGAAATTGCACCTGTAAAAAAAGGATTTTTCCTGATAGGTATAGCTATAACAACTTGATCAGCCTTAGGACTTCAGACTACTTCACTGATCTAATTATAACAACAAATATAATTATCGTTCATACTGTGACTTAGTTTTTAGAACACTTTCACATTAATCTTCTACTTTGTCGGCACAATTTATGAAAAAGGTCTGATGTTAATGTCACCTTTATTGATAAGCTTTCTGGCTTAGCTAGTAGTTGTTAGAATCCAGATCTAATGGCATTGAATTCTTTGAGATGAATGAACATAATTAAAATTCTTAACATATTTTCTACCTTTTTACTCTCTGCTCTGCATCGTGATTTAGGTACTCAGGGTTGACAATGTTGCGTAGTAGTGGTTGGTGCAGAAGGATAGACAAGCAACTTGTTGGCATTTTGTAGCTATATGATACCTTTAATTGCTGGTATTAGTATCTGACCTTTGACATGAAGGTGGTACATCAAGATTTCACTTATTGATTCCTACAGTATTAAGGAAGAGAAACTCCAAGTTTATGCCTTCCTTACCCATACATTTTGACCATCATATTTTCATGCCAGAGCTGCATATAAAAACACAAATAGGGAGGCTGGATGTGGTGGCTCATGCCTATAGTCCCAGTTACTCCGGAGGCTGAGGTGGGAGGAATGCTTGAGCCCAGGAGTTCAAGGCTACAGTGAGTTATGATTGTGCCACTGCACTCCTGCCTGCGCAACAGAGCATGACCCTGCCTCAAAAAACAAAAAAGAAATAGCAATGTCACACTTCTGACTTCCCTAACTTCTTTCTCTAAACCCTTACATTTCATGTGAAATGTGCATGTTGTTGTTAATTTGGTGTTTATTTCTTTTAGAACAGTTCTAAAGGAACTATTTCCTTAAAACGTTCTCAGTTCTTATTGGGTTTGATTAAACAGAAAATAATTGATTCCGAGTGTGTTGAATTGAGGTTTTTCTCTTATTTGAACAAATTTAAACAAAAAAATATTTCTCTTTTCTTTGCAGTGTGCCAATCTCCAGGGAGTCAAGATGCTCTGTTCTAATGCAGAAGGAGCATCCCTGAAACTGTGTAATTTTGAGGATCCTTCTGGTCTTAAAGCCAATTTAGAAGGTAAGATCCTATCTGTAAATGCCTGTTCTATGGTGGAAGCAGAGGGTAAAGGAAAAAGCCCAGCAAAGTAATTATTAAGGATAAAACACAATAGCTGCTTCTCTCATCATATATAGAGAATTTGCAAAGGTTCCATTTGGTCTCAGTCATATGCTAATTATAACGGAGGACTCAGAAGAAATAAAGCCTCAAATCTTTAATGAGGTTTTAGTTGCAAAATTAAGTAACTTTCAAATAGCACAAAATAGTCTTATTCTGAACAAAAGGCAGAATTTCAGTTTGCACAAAGCTAGAAAGGTTTGTCATTTTTAGATTTAATGTATTTATTAATTCATCATTGCTTTGTTTTGTCTGTGAATTGGTCACTTTGTTTACTTGTATATTTAGGAGATTAGTACTACTTATCTCCCTTGTCATAAACTTATGGGGCTTATTATAGAGTGCTGTTTATCACGAGACAGAATTGAGTTTCTCCCTCAAAAGTATTGACGAAACCATTCTGTAGTATAAGTAAACAAATGGCTAACATTGAACTCTTTGTATATGGAAGTTGGTTGAGAGACTGAAATTTCAGATTCATTTCCAAAACTTAAAGGAGGCTGTCATCTTTCACCTCCAGTAAGTTATCTTGTAGTTTCGTTGAAGGTTGGGTAACTATAAATATTTTTAAGTTAAATTATTCCCAAAATATGTTCACGGTAGGTGCTAATCTGAAAGGTGTGGATATGGAAGGAAGTCAAATGACAGGGATTAACCTGCGAGTTGCTACCTTAAAAAATGCAAAGTTGAAGAACTGTAACCTCAGAGGAGCAACCCTAGCAGGAACTGATTTAGAGGTAAGTTCACCAACATTTAAAGAGTTTTTGTTTATTATTTCAATAAATTTTGCATGGGATACTCAGTAATTCTAGATTAACAAAGTAGTTGGCTGGTAAAACTGCCAGGTAACCTGCCACCACAGCCAGAGGAATGTTTTCCTTACATTTTTTGAATTCCAGAGCAGGATTCAGTTACCTGAGTCATACATAGGTGCCAGTTCCAGATTGGAAGATTCGGATCCATCATGGATTTCATTTCCCTTCTTTCTCTTGGGTCTTAAGTAGATAAGTTTGATGCATTAGTAATCCAATGTATTGTGTTTTCCATAAAATTTAATTCCAGACAGAATTAAATGGGCCAGGTTATTTCTTAAAGTAGTTGAGAAATTTAAATGATATCTAGGTTTGAAATCAGGTTCAGGAAAAGCCTATTTTAAATTGGAATCATATTGTTTTTTGAATCTCAGCATAAGATTTTAATTTTGTCCAGTCATCTTTTTCATAAGAATTGTATTCCATACATCTTGATTTGCAAATTGAGCTAGCAGACGTGGTAGCCGTGGATAGGTCAACGTCAGTGCCGTCCAGTAGCACTTTCTGCAGGAGGGACAGGTTCTGCATCTGTGCTGTTCAGTCCAGTAGCTACTAGCCACGTGTAGCTATTGAGCACTTGAGATGTGGCTAGTGCAAGTGAGAAATTGAGTTTTTAATTCATTTAAATTTAAATAGCCAATTGTAGCTGGCAGTTATCATATTGAACAGTAGCTCTAAGAAAATTCAGCATAGATTATAGAGAATAGTATGTCAAAATTTAGCTTGCTGTTGCTTTTTAAAAATATTTTTGCCTTGATCTCTGGATCTCTCTCAACAGCAGAGTAGCAGGCCTTTTTAAACTTCAGGGCAAAAAGAACTGGCCTAAGGCTGATAGTGTAAGAATGCTATGGCTGGGGAATGGAAAAAATCTATTATCTCTTTCAGATTTTTAAAAAGTAGTCTTCCCCCATCTTATACCTTTTGTTGTTGCTCTTGGACTGTGGTAAAATTGTTTATTACGTTGGGAATGCATTCTGGATTTTGAATGCCTTATTCTAAAATACACAGAGTGACATGTTTCCTCTTTGTTTATCCATATGAGGGGACTTCCAAAAGTTCATGGAAAAATGGAATTAAAAGATAAAAAATGTAAATTTTATTTGTCCATATAAGCTCCATCAAGGTCCAGACACTTCTGTAATCAATGATAGCAGCCATTTAGTCCATTCCTAAAGAACTGAGGGCCCTGGGAATTGACCTATGTCAATGCAGCCCTTTTTTTACATCTACTGAAGAAAAATGGGCATCCTTTAAAGATTTTTTTAAGATGAAGACACAAAAAGAAGTCAGGAGGATCCAAATCAGGACTTTAAGATGGATGATGATTTCCCATCAAAACTGTCAAAAAATTGTCCTTGTTTGATGAGAGGAATGAGCAGGAGTGTTGTCGTGGTAGAGAAGGACTCTGGAGCAGCTTTCCCAGGGGTTTTTCTGCTAATGCTTTAGGTAACTTTCTCAAAACACTCTTATAATAAGCAGATGTTATTGTTCTTTGACCTCCAGAAAGTTAACAAGCAGAATGCCTTGAGCATCCCAAAAACCTGTTGCCATGACCTTTGCTCTCCTGATCCTCTGCTTTTGTCTTGACTGGACCACGTCCACCTCTTGGTAGCCATGGCTTTGATTATGCTTTGTCTTCAGAATCGTACTGGTAAAGCTGTGTTGCATCTCCTGTTCCAGTTCTTTGAAGAAATGCTTCAGGATCTTGATCCCACTAGTTTATTTCCACTGAAAGCTCTGCTCTTTCTGCAGCTGATGTGGGTGCAATGGTTTTGGCATCTGAGTGGAAAGTTTGCTCAACTTTAATTTTTTAGTCAGAATTGTGTAAGCTGAGTCAGTTGAGATGTCTACGGTGCTGGCTATTGTTTCTGCTGTTAATCTTTAGTCTTCTTCAATTAGGGCACAAACAAGATGAATTTTTTCCCTGAAAATTGACGTGGATGGTCTGCCGCTGCAGGCTTCATCTTCAACATCATCTTGTCCCTTCTTAAAATGAGTTCTCTATTTGTAAACTGCTGTTTTCCTTGAGGCATTGTCCCCACAAACTTTTCATAAAGCATCAATGATTTCACCATTCTTCCACCCAAGCTTCACCATAAATTTGATGTTTGCTCTTGCTTTAATTTTAGCAGAGTTCATTTTGTTCTTAGGGGCTCTTTTCAAACTGATGTCTTCCCTCTCTTAGTGCCTCAAATTAGATCCTGTTCAGGCATGTTATAGCAAATTAGTACAAGTTTATCTTATTTTCTTTTTTTCTTATTAGTTATAGCAGCAGTTTATTTTGGTTCAAAAAAATTTTGAAATCCATGCACAGTTTTTCCATAATTTTCCATGAATATTTTGAAGACCCCTCATATGGTGGTAGTCAACCTAAATATCAACTAGAGATAACAAATACAGGTAGAAGAAAATCTGACATTACGGTATATAGTCAGAAGTTTTCCAGAAATTAACTGAGTTTTACTATAGAGGAACATTTTTCCTAATATTCCCCAGAAATCGAAGAAACAGATAAGGCTTTAAATCTCCATATTAGTTACACGAATATTGTTTTTGTCTTACAGAATTGTGATCTGTCTGGGTGTGACCTCCAAGAAGCCAACCTGAGAGGTTCCAACGTGAAGGGAGCTATATTTGAAGAGATGCTGACGCCACTGCACATGTCACAAAGTGTCAGATGAGAATTCCAGGGGCTGGAGGAAGAGGTCCAAGATGAAAAATGTTTTCCTTATCACTTTTCTTTCTCCACCCACTCAGTCGTCTAGAAGAAACAACACTGTAAGGGAATTTAAAAAAAGCAGTTAGAGGATTATGCTAGTTCTCAGCGGTGCATAAGGGAAAAAAACTGACTTTTTTTCCACATTCTAACAGAAAAGCACTCATTTCATAGATGTAGGGAAACTAGATTATATTGTTGCCTTTTGAATGGGGTACGGGGATTTGCCTGGTTTTATAACCAGGAATAGTATCTATTCTATTTGCTTTTAAATAGGCATGATGTGGAAATACCATCTTGGTTTGAGATGCTTAATTTATGAAAAGCACAACATATGCAATTATATTTATTGACTACCTAGATGCAGTATGGATATTTAAATTGTTAAACTTTATGAAGACTTTGAAAAGGTTGTTCAGGTTTATCAATAGCTTTAGTGATGGCTCCCCTCTTTACCTGTCACACCGTATGAATATGGTGAGATCAGACTTCCTAAGACTCTCTTTTCAGGTTCATTTTTATGATGTTTATTTTTTAGAACGAAACAGTAGCTAAATTAAAGAAATATCCAGTTCTTAGAGTGGAAAGAAAGACATCATTGTACATCACTGTCACTCTGTAGGTACAGTGGAACGAACGTTTCAGATGGAAGAATAATTTATCTACAGCTACAACTTTTAAATGAGGATTTCTCAGAATTTTATTCTAGGCAAGTTCCACTCATCCTCAGACCAGGCAATTCTATCTAATTTACATACACTACTAGCCTAGTTTTCTCCTATACAATCAACAGAAGCATAGGCAGATGCTTCCAAAAAAAACCAAGGTGCATGCATCATTAATATTCATTTAATTCAAATGCCAAATAGCTTAAACAGGGCCGGCTTAGAGACAGGTATTAAATCTAAATCCACTACGAAGCTCTAAAATGTGAGTGAATATGGCAGAGTTGCCTTTCAGAAGGCAACATAATTTCGGCTAGACCCCTACAACGGGGAATGAGGAATGTTAACCTGACAGTTTGATTATGGCCACCAAAAAAAGACAGACATTTGGCTGGTCCAAGATGTTACACCAGTCAGTCAGCACCTGTGGTTCTTTTATTCATATTTTCTGTTTTGTTTTTAACCAATTTTAATCCCATTTTCTCGAGTCATTATCTTGCTGCAGAAATAGGGCCCGTACCTCCCTACCAGTAACCTGGTGTCCTTATGTCTACCCGAAGAGCAGGGATATGAGCTGTGTCCAAATGGGTTCTGAATTCTGCAGACTCTCATGAACTTGAGGCAACGATCCATTAAAAACCACTTTTGTCTCCTTTGGGAGAATGACATCTCTTCAGTATTTACGTAGCTTATTCTTCTATATCTACATATGCAAAGCTTTCCTTAACAGAAAAGGTACATATGCATAGCTGGAAGGAGATCGGACCTTTAAAGTGAAGGAAAGCGACTTCAGAAATGAATTATTTTCTTTGCTTTATTATTTTTACCAAGACAGAGAAGTATTGTATTGAGAGATATCTATTTTCATAATCAATATGTGCCTAAATTATATTTAAATCATTTCACTCTGTACTATATTTTCAGTAATTATAGAATGTGTTATTCATTTACTTAAAGGTACCTCTGTAGACATAACCTAAAACTGCAGAAGGATCTGAAAGATCTAAACACAGTGTGCTCTAGTAGAAGCTGCAAAATTTAGATCTAATGTATTCTGCATTAATAAACAATATAAAATGTTGAAAAGGCGTTTTTTTTCTCTTGCTTTTGAAAATCAGCACTTTCTGTATTTTACTTACATTTCTTCAATATGTGTTGACCAGCCCTGAGGGTCTGGGTAGAAAAGGAAATACAGCATAACAATTGTTATGGATTAGTCTCTTTAAGTACCATTAAAGTAAATTCATTGCTTTAAACATGATTATTTTAGGATCCTCTTTTAAAAACCCACCATGCTAACAACACAAACTTCGTTAATTCTGAACAGAAAAAAAGACTGCCTTCCCAATAATTCATTTCAGTTGTTTCTGTTCATTATCTTCAGGTGATGAACATTACCAGTTAGCTTTTTTAGGTTGGATATAATATGCCCTCCAAAACATTTTTTGCCTGACCAACTAGAAGAGAGAATTTTAAGGAGGGAGTAAAGTTTCAAAATAGTAAAACTTCCATTAACCCCATGTGTATGAAACATCTATACACATAGGTAAAAATGGAGTTGTTGGGAGGATGACCAGACAAAGGTTTTATACTTAAATTAGCTACTTTATGTACATTGATAAAATTTGGTACTCAAGTAATTATTACCTAAAGCAATACATGTTATACTCTAATGTAGTCTATCTAGTTCCCCCAACTAGTCTCAAGAAAATTTTAGTAGAAAATGTTGTAAATTTATTATTCCTATGAGGGTTTCTATCATAAAGCAAGACTTGGAAAATTTTCTCCAGTTGTTCATTTTGTGAATCAGTTAATACTGTAAATCCTACCCTAAGTCAACTTTAAATCATCTTTAATATATGAGAAACCTTAGAATTGTATTAAATCTCCAAGGAAGTATTATCTTTAAAATTAAAAGGTTCATTACTACAAAGAAAAGTGGTTACGTTATTTCAGTGTAAAGCATCTTATCCAAGGATTAATTCTCTGAAACCCTTTCAGAACCTGATTAGACATGTCAGCAGGAGAGCACCTTGAGTTCTTCCTGCTGAGATTTTACATTAGGGCAAAAAAATAGTTGTTCGTCTGTCAGCAAGATCACAAAATCATCATTGTTATAATCATTTTGAGGTGTTTTGATGTTGAAAATGAAGCAGTTTTTCCTCTAAAGCCATTTTTTCAAGTTTAGGGGAAAAATTATATAAAATCCCATTATTTAAACTCAATTTATTAAATTTAACTCTTTGGTAAATTGACCTAAGCGCAGAATCATAAAAGGATTCCAAGTTTGTCACTAAACATCAAAAACTCATTAATTGCGTAGTTGTTTGATAACCTATTTGGTGCCAAAGAAAGCAAGACAAAACAAATCTGGCTTTTGCCTTTGAGATCTATGCGACCTAAGACAATACTAATGCAGAATTGGTGGACACATGGCATACTGAATGAATTCATAGACCATGTTGCTATGTTCATCTTAAAATTTTCAAAGCATTTTTCAAAAATGTAATACTGATAAAAATAACCTGCAATTAATCCAGTGGTGCCTATGCAGGCATAAATGATTGACCTGACATTAGTGGTCACAAGTTTTAATTCTCATTTCATTAGTCCTAATCAAAGCCCACATGTTCTGCTTAAGCAACACTTAGAAGCACATCTCTTTAAGCAAACAGGAAATCAATTGGCCAATTTAAACTAACACTGTTCAAATATAATGAATTTGTTGAAAAATAGCCTCTCCTTGCTTACATATTATAGTGAGATGAGATTCCACTCCTCATGTCAGAATGACACTTATTAGTCCAAGTGTCTAAATGAAATAAAGTCAAATACTTAGGTTTGATTTTTAAATTCCCCTCTATTTATAATTATACTTTAAAGTTTACCCACTTCTCTACCCCATCATGAGGATGGAACAATCTCTGCAGACATGACAGCAAAGCCAGGGAGTTAATTTGGGCAAGACATCATTGCTCTTTGCTCTGCAATCCTTGCAAACAGAATTACTCCAGAGGGTACCGGGCAATGACTGAGCAGTTTAGCATCCTACCTGCGGGGAAATTGCCAATCCCAGCACTAAAATGAACAATTATCCAATTATTTTTCAACCATCTTAAAGCTTAGCTGATGTAACAGGCCTTACAGCCAATTGTACATGAAGTTTTAATTCTATGTCAGATAAAATATATCTTTGATGCAGAAAGAGAAAGCATTAGGCTTCATCTGGTTAAAAGGTTCCTGCTTTTTATTCATTCATTCACTCATTCAAACTTATACTTAGTGAATGCTGACTAAATGCCAGGGGTTTATTAACAGATGTTTAAATAAGATGGTCAGGAGGCTGAGATGGGAGGATCGCTTGAGCCCAAGAGTTCAAGACCAGCCTGGGCAATACGGTGAGACCCGTCTCTAAAAAAGAAGAAAAGAAAAAAACTAGCGACTAGCAGGGCATGGTGGTGCATGCATGTAGTCCCAGCTATTCAGGAGGCTGAGGAAGGAGGATCTCTTGAGCTCAGGAGTTTGAGGCTGCAGTGAGCTATGATCACAACACTGCACTCCAGCCTGGCAGACAGAGCAAGACCACATCTCTTAAAAAAAAAAAAAAAAAAAAAGTAAAAATGATGGGATCTTTGATTATCATGGGTTACAGCCTAAGGGTAAATTAGGGGAGGACACTCATGTATTTAAATAAATGTAATAAAGAGTAATGGTTCTCTTTTTTTACGTGCTTGTACTGTGTAAATAACATGTCCAAGGTCACACCTCTGGAGGAGAACATCTGTAAAACTTGGATAATGATACTTTGTCCAGTGGTTATAATGAGTGGTCTCATTCACATAGCATGCAACTGTAATTTCTCATCTTTGTGCTCCTACTGCCCTTAACACGCAGCGATTTGCATATTTAACTCCAAGCATCTACTGAAACGAGTTTAACTGTTGACCTAAGTCAGCTCAGTATGGTCTTTCTAACTACAATGTTTCTTCTTGCCTTTTTGATGCTTTGAAAGGCTTTCAAGACAAATCAAGGAGGGAACCTGCTGGGTAGGAGGCTGGGTAATTTTCAGACTCAACACTATCAACTTCAGGATCATATATGGACTTGGTGTAGTGCCAATAAACACAGTATTATTATTTATAAATCAGATTTTTTTTTTTTGAGACAGGGTCTTGCTCTGTTGTCTGGGCTAGGGTGCAGTGCCATCATCATATCTCAACAGCAACCTCAAACTCCTGAGCTCAAGCGATCCCCCCATCTCAGCCTCCTGAATAGCCAGGACTACAGGTGTGTGCCATCATGCCCAGCTAATTTTTTGTAGAGATGGAGTCTCATGGTGTTGCCCAGGCTGGTCTCGAACTCCTGGCCTCAAGCAATCCTCCCACCTCATCGTCCCAAAGTGCTAGGATTACAGCTGTGAGCCACTGTGCCCGGCCATAACTCAGATTTTTTAAAATTGGGAGCAACTCTATGATCATCTAGTCTGAACCCCTCCTTTTACAAATGAGGACTCTACGAGCTGAGCCCAGCTCCCAGGCATCCTGACTCAAGTTCCTATATTTACTGCACAGCCTCCTTTGGTGAAAGTTTTTATGTGTGCATTTAACTTCCCTTAATCTAAGACATCTATTTTCCCTGAACTCTTGCTAAGTCTGCCAGTTTTCTCAAGGGAGTCCAACCTAGTTAGATTTTAATCTGTTTGAATTGTGGCCTCAGCTATAAAAGTTTCAGCTGAAGTTTTAATGGCCAGACTTAAGTACATTTAACAGATACACCAGGGGGTGTTCCAATTATATACACCATTAAGGGGTTTTATGTGAGGATTAAAAAAAAATACTATTAAAAAGAAAGCATAGTCCAATGTGCAGTGTAATTTACCAGCGGGAAAGATTTCAATGTCCTGGAAAAATTTCATATAAAAAGGAAGCCGGGAAAATAGAAAAGTCACAGTCTCAACACACTTCAAGGGAAGCTTGGGATCCTTTTGCCTCTTTGCCTCTAAACAGGTAATGTGCTTTCTGTTTCTAGCACTACTTTTTCCTTTTTAGACTGCATGCGATTGTATGTCTGCAGAGCACTTTACACCCCAAGGGCTGAGTCCAGGTGTGATGGTTTCAAAAGAAGCCTTGACCTTCACTGTCCTTCTCACCACCAGCCACATCTCAGCCTTTGGGGAATCTCACAGGTCATCAACCAGTATTGCTTTTGTCTGTAGCCTCTTCCTCATCAAATGAAAATTAATTTGGAGACACATTTCATGAGGTAAGTAGAGGCCCCCTTGGATAGGGAGGCATCTGGTCTGGGACTTACTGCTTTGAGCAGCGTTGAGTCCTCTCTCCTTCCCACAGATGGTCCAGCCAGCACTAATGCCTGAAAGACTAGAGAACAGATAGTAAAACGTCATTAGTACCATGGGGTAGCTATTTAACGTCAAGCAACTTTATATCAGCCAGAGAGTCTTAGTAAGAGCAGATGTCCTAGTTCTCTTTATCTCAAGGATGACAGAGGTGAAGACTAACCACAATGGGGGAAATGTTAAGGCAAAAAGGTGAATTTTCTAAGGGATGAAACATGGGGTTTGGATAACCAAATAAATCATAAAAATAAAAATAGACTACTTTAGAGGCCGGGCGCGGTGGCTCACGCCTCTAATCCTAGCACTCTGGGAGGCCGAGGCGGGCGGATTGTTTGAGCTCAGGAGTTCGAGACCAGCCTGAGCAAGAGCGAGACCCCATCTCTACTAAAAATAGAAAGAAATTAATTGGACAACTAAAAATATATAGAAAAAATTAGCCGGGCATGGTGGCGCATGCCTGTAGTCCCAGCTACTCGGGAGGCTGAGGCAGGAGGATTGCTTGAGCGCAGGAGTTTGAGGTTGCTGTGAGCTAGGCTGATGCCACGGCACTCACTCTAGCCAGGGCAAAAAAAAAAAAAAAATAGACTACTTTAGTACTAAAAAGTCCTGAATATGTGGGTTTAAAGTACTGATTTTTGTCCCTAGTGGCTAAGAAACTCAAGGCAGGCAAGCAGGTGTCTGCGTTTCAGTGTCTGTGGTATGAGAATTATATGGCTCCAACTTCCATCTCCTGTAGGGCTAATGAAGCAGATACTAGCCTTTTCACTAAAGAGGTCTTTATTTTTGACTCAACCCAGCCTGGGTCTATTTTGATTGTACATTCTTGTTCTTCAGAATGGAGCCAATTCCAAAACTTCTAGTTGGACTCATCCTGCTGACTTTATGTGTGGAGGGCTGCTCCAGCCAACACTGGTCCTATGGGCTGCGCCCCGGAGGAAAGAGAAATGCTGAAAATGTGATCGAGTCTTTCCACGAGGTAAGTTTCTCTTAGTTTCAAAATAAGACGTAGCTTATTTGATTCGATTTAACTATATTAAACACTCAGCATGAGCCGCAGTGGCATTACTCTGCTCCACCCTAGACACTCCAGGGAGATACAACACTTACCAAGTAGAAGTCCCATTCCTACTTTCAATGCAGATAGAGACTAAAGAAACAAAGAGCAGGACCAATTCCAAGAAAATATAGCAACAAGCACAAGACAGTACATTGTACTCTGAGAGTACGGAATTGCTGAAGGAATTAGAAACGAGATGGAGTCAAGGTCTCCATTGGAAGATGATTCTTTGGGATTTGGAAAGAAAATTCTAGACCTTCTGGTTATGTCTTTTTCTTACTTTATCTTTTAAAAATATCTGTGATAATACATCAATAGTGCAGTTTTATAATTTATAAATAGGTATCCTTATCAAGAATGTATGCCCTAGAATTTCCTTTCACTGACAAGGACTAAATAATTAAGCAAAGAAGTTGGAGAATACGGGAGTTAGCAAATTCAGGACAACAAAATGGTGTAGTGGAAAAGATGGTGGATTTAATTTCATAGACACAAGATTAAGGATTTCATGACAGAGGCCGTCTATGTTAGCTGATTAATCAAAAGAAATAACATAGGGCTGAGAATGGGAAGCTAGCTAGAGAAACTTAAAACCATTTCATTTTCATTGGAAAGAAATCTTTCTTCTGGGAGAAATAATAAAGAGCATTTAGTATGAAATAAGGAAGCCCGACAATCTGAAGTCTCCTCTCCACAGAGCATACGTCAAGCAAATCTCATTTACTGTGACATTATTTAGTAAAATACAGAAAATAAAAACCAACTCTATTCACAACTATAAACTCATCTGTGTGCACCGTCCCCTCCTGAGGCACAAAGACCTTCTGTCTCATCATCTCTAAGGAGAAAATGTTGTCTCCTCTTACTGTCTCTATTATCTCCTGAGCCCCAGCCCTTCTGCAGAAATGCTTGCTGGTAGATCTATGTCCTTACAGACCCCATCCCAGTCCTGCAGCTTTCCCAGCCCCTCACTCGGTCCCATAACCTCCTTGATCTCACGGACACTTTTTGGTGGAAATAAAAAAATACCATTTCATTTCTTTATCTCCGCCTCCAAGAATCACATTCTTTTTCTTCAGATAGCCAAAGAGGTTGATCAACTAGCCGAACCCCAGCACTTTGAATGCACCATCCACCATCCACGTTCGCCCCTCCGGGACCTCAAAGGAGCCCTGGTGAGTTAAAGTGACCATAACATAGAGCTTTAGAGGTGGAAAGGCCCTTGGGGACCGCTTAGGACAGCCACCTCCCTGCCACTGCGGGGCTTACCTTCCTGACTGTGGGGATACCTCCTGTGCCGGGGCCCTCCTGACACTCCTGTTCAGTGGCTGGACAGCACTAGAGCTGGAACCCCCTTCCTTTTTTTTTTTCCCCCTCCAGAAGTTGAACTGAAATCTCTGTAACCTCTATCTGCTAACCCTGGCTCTAGCCTTTGGGATGACCGACAAATTTCTTCCCACAACTATATTTCAGTTCTTCAAGTACAATCATCAAAGCCCCTTGACTACTCTTCTGTAGGCAAATCCACACCCCTCCACCTGGTTCTGCAATTGCACTTGGTATGACATGGTTTTCCAGAACCCTGGAGAATGCAGAAATCAGAAACAGTGTTCTAGGTTGTTCCCCACCCCCCGCTTTGGAATAAAAAAATTCCAAACCAATAAAATTATGATTCGAAGCCACAGCATTGATTTCCAGTTTTCTTATAGGACTATAGCCATATCCAAATTCCCATCAAAAATGGAAATCTACTAATCTAATCAAAGTTTTTGATGAAAGAAAGTATATAAAGAGAATTAAATATAAAAATTGAATCCTGAATTCAGTGTTGGTGTTCTCTGAGTTCCATGGTCTACTCATTTGCAGTAGTCAGAAGGTATTATAGTTAATTATCAGTTACTCCCAGGAACAGGGAAAGCTTGAATAAATCACATATGAAGATAAGTTGTAATTTTAATTTTCTCCTGTGACTTCAGCTTCCATACCCACAGGACAAAGAAAGAAGTGGGCAGACATCTTTATTTCCATTCTTTTTCTAATCTTGCTTACTACATGATAAAAATAACAGCAAGCAGTGAAATTTCCCAAACGTGACATTATGAAGGAATTAAAGCAAAGGTTGGCTTACTAGCAAACTGATTAAAGCCGGGAATGGTGGCTTTGCACCTGTGATCCCAGCTACTTGGGAGGCTGAGGTGGGAGAATCACTTGAGCCCAGGACTTTGAAACCAGCTGCTATGGGTGACATAGCAACTCCCCCATCTCTAAAAACCATTTAAAAATTAGCTGGGCATGGTGGTGCATTCCTGTAGTCCCAGCTACTCAGGAGGCTGAGTTTGGGAGGATCACCCCTGCACTCCAGTCTGGGCGACAGAATGAGACCCCCCCCATCTCTTAAAAAAAAAAAAATTAGCAAACTGATTGATCAGACCTGTTTTCCATCTCCTTCCTCACATCCTAACCTTTAACTATTAATGAATATTTTGTGTTTCTTCAGCAGGTTAAAAAGACAATCTATCATCTCTCTCTAGCACATAAAAGCAAATGGACCTTTTCTTTCTCATTCAATCTTTTAGAAATTAAAATGTCAAAAACGTAATGCAATTGTTACTAAAGCCAACCTTGATATATTTGTTACTCAACTATTTTTCAGGAAAGTCTGATTGAAGAGGAAACTGGACAGAAGAAGAGTTAAATCCATTGGGCCAGAAGGATCAAGCACTTAACTATAATTATGTCTCTGAAATTTGTGACCCATTGGGTATCTGTCACTTGTGTGAATTTCAGAAATTCTGACACCGAGTTGCACGTATTTCATAATAAAGCGCTGTGCTGTGAATGGCGTAAATGTGAAGTCTTTCTCTAACTCAGAATTCTGGGGGGGAGGGATGCTGTGAGCCCACCAAAGGCAGGCGTCCACGTGTGCGTCCAGGTGGCAGAAGGGAGAGGGGACAAGCATCTACTGTGGACTGATGGGCTCCAGGCTCTCCAGCACCCCTGCCCTGCACCCACGAGGAAGACAGCCACATACTGGTGCAGCCCGAAACAACCGATTCAGCTAAGTTTCTATGGGACTGTAACTTCACCTTTGACACTCTCTGCCGTGGCCAAGGCTTCCTCCTCCATTGCCCCCAATCCCTTTAAAAGTCACCTGGAACCCGAAAGAGGCTGGGGAAGAGGAAGCCTTGCAGGGCTCCTAGTCCAGTGCTCCTCTGGTTCCACGTGGTCTGTCCGAGTGCTGCGCGCTGAGGTTTGAGACCAAGGTCTAAAAATGATAGAGTGTTTACCTGTTTGATCTTTTTGGTATTTCATTTGAGAAACGCAATGGAGTGCAAACAGTCCACCGGAGACAGGATTCTGTAGTCCCCACGTCCTCTGGTCAAACAGCATCGCCACCGCTCCTTCCCCATGAAGACCAGCGTCAGGCTTTGTGCTAGACACGCACACACATATTTTCAGTGACCGGCATAACAACCTTGGAATTGTTTTCACTTTAAGATGAAGAACTTGGGCTCGGGGAGTTTAACAGACCCACTCAGTCCTCTCTGGTTCCGTGTTCACTGCTCTGGTGCTGCTCTGTGATGAGCAGTCAGTGGAATCGAACTTTGGAAGGTGGGTTATTTTGTTAATTGGGGCTGAAACAGGACACCGGGCACATAAGGCAACTCAGTTTTATGGGTGACCATTTCTCCGTGAGGTCCCAGACACTATGGCACTAACATTCTCGTTTACCCTCATAACTTCCAAGTGGCTAGGAGATCATTTGAAAAACTCAAATTTCAAATAATGTGTCCAATGTCTCAGCAACAAATTGACATGGCAAAGATCTAGACTCTTTTTTCTCTTTTAATCAGACAAATGAAACCTCCCCCTGCCTGTTCCCCTCTATCTCAGAAAAGGGGGAGATCTGTGCTAAGAAATTTGAAAACAGGGCAGAAACATTCCATGGGGGGAAAAAATTGGCCCTTTTTAATATAAATACTTGCTAGTGCACAACGCTAGCTTTCCCAGATACCTCCATTTGAAGAATCTCTAAAACTGAATCAAAGAACTTCTTCACTTCTTCTTTAGTAAAATTAGGCAGTGATGTGATCCACAACTGGCTCTAGGAAACAAAAGCAAAACCACATCATTTCATTAATCAATACAAACGAGCAGGGTGAGAGGCGTCCACTTGCCAATCACTCACCAACTGTCTTTTTTTTTAAGGAAAACAATATAATCTATAATATTTACATTAGTTGACAACACACCCACCTAATTTATACATCCTGCTTGGAGCATCAGGTTTCCTTTGCCAAAGTTTTTCTTCGGGATAATTTCTTTGCAGCCAGCTGTGGGCCTTCCTGGGTGGGATAAAAAGATGCTCGTGCAGTTGCCTGAGGCTGATTGTCAGAGGCCTTCAGTGACGACTCGTAGCTTGCACGTTATGTGAGCATGTTGGGTATCCTTGACTCTTAAATGGCCCAAATGTCCAAGAGAAAGAAGTGAAAATGGCCCATTTATTAAAATGATAAATGTTTTCCTGCGTCTGAAGAGCAGTCTAACACATCAATATAGCTTCCAAAAAAAAAAAAAATCTTCAGTCTTTCAAAATAAATGGTGGGGAAACACATCGAATGATATATTTAATGAGATGGGTTCTTGAACGTATATGGCTTTAAAAGATCAAGTACCAAAAAAAAAAACGCTTAAAAATTCATCATTTTAGCAGGTTTTAAAAGCTGCAGTATCTCAGAGATGACTGGAAAAAAGCCAAGAATCACTGCATGAGGCAACAGCACTTAGATCTCGACAGTGGAAGATGCTCTTAAGTAGTATTTCTCTGTGGGGACCCTGGATCCTAAAACATTCCCTGGCTCTATAGATTCAGTCTTTGGGGCCCAAACACTGGGGTGTTTTTAACAAGCATCCTGGTGATTCTCATGCATGCAGAGGGGAGCATTATTGCTTCTAAAAAGCAATAGATTGCAAATGTTTTAAAGCATTGGAACAGATTCTTTCGGGATCTAGGGTCCCCATGGAGAAATACTACTTTGGCACGTCTTTCTTGGGGAAAAAAAAAATCTTAAGCCTAAGCCCAGGACTAATGAGTGGAGCTATTAATACTTTAGTTGAAGAGTGGCTGCCCTCCTGCTCCAGCTTGGACCGACGTACCACCAGCAGGGATTTTATGAAACACATCTTAAACACCAATTTTCTGAAGTTGTATTTCTTCTAAGGCAGTGGTTTTGCAACCTTGGCCCAACATTGGGATAACATGGGGGAGAGACTGAAAAGAAATACGGATGCCTGGGTCCCACTCTCCACCCTCAGGAATTCTGATGTCATCGGTCTGGGGTGTGATACCAGCATTCGACCTAGTTTGAGAATCAGTTCCTATCCTTTCCACGTCAGTCCTACCCCTTTTAACCTCTTTGTATCGCTCCTGACCTCTGCCTAATTATCCGTGGCGAATGAGTGAAGAAATGGGACCCAGGTATATTACATGAGTGGCTCTCAGAAACTGCCAGTTCAGATGCCAAAGGGTTGGATGGAAGGGGTGAAAAGAACCAAATGGTTTGCAGTTTTTATTACTTCTGGGTGAGAAGACTCCAGATTAAACCAGCAGCGCCTGCGAGGGAACAAGCAGAGACACTGGGGGTGGCGTATCCCGAAGGAAGAACAGTTACCAAATTTGGGACTGATTTCATCTCATTAATAAAAGAGTAATAACAAACTAAACACACTATAAACTTTAAAATACACTTCCATTTTTAATTTAAAAAATAAATAACAGCAAATCTGAACAAAACTCTTCTACTTCAATGCACGTCGTCCTAACTGCCCATGTTTGAAACCCAACTAGTTATAAAATCATAGCGAAGGAATTGATGACAAAGTTTAGATGAACAACTTACACAAAACGTGACTCATAGATGAGTTCGGACAGCATCTACAGGAGACCAGCTTTGGTTAGATCCTAAGAATCAGACTGAAATCATTCACCTGAAAGGAAAAACCAGCTTTTCCCTTTTGTAAATTATTATAGAATCGATGGTTCAACTTTGGACCCACCCAAAGAGAAACTTACCTTTTCCAATTTAATTTAAAAAAACAAGACATATAGCTGAATGAAAGCTTCTAAGGAAGTGATATTTATCAACTTCCCAAATGATATAGGGAAAAAAAGGCTTAATTATTAAAATGAACTGAAAGTCTAGTTACAGTGCACACAGGCATATAGCTGGTGAAGTCTGAAGACTGTTATGGAAATGACATCGTTTATAAATTGTTGCAGAGAATTATGGTGATTTGTGTCAATATTTCCATGTGTACTGGCGTACTGGCATAGTCATAATTTTAATGTCCACAGATCTTTTTGTCTTCATAGCCAGGGTATGGCAGGATCAAAGCACCCACTTGGGATGAAAAATGGGAAAAGTATATAGTGCATGGAACTAGAAGCCTTTGTACACGAACTTAGTTTCCGTCTGATTCTCCCGCTTTGTGTTCACTTAGAATGAGAGCAGCTAGGGCTGAAGGAATTCTAAAACTCATGTAGTCTTTTTTTTTTTTTTTAAAAGATGAGGAAATGGAGACCCAGGAACTGACTACAAATTGACTTGCTAAAAGGTACCCACTCTTTCTAATCTTGTTTTGTGGTGACGGTGGGGTTTTTCTCCCCCTTCGTTGTGCCTGAGAAGCGAGAGGAAGGCAGGCACAAATCTGAAGGGCCTTCTAAATACCCTTCCATAAAATGGC